TCGAACCTCGGGCCATGCGTGTGTGATAGTGGCCACTTGCGCCTACACCGCTCCTGTCCTAGTTGGATTTCCCCGGAAAGAAAAACCAGTACTCTCCAGTCTGAGCTCTTTAACATCTTCAGTTTTTGAGTAAACGCTACAACTATTTTGGAAAAAAACAAACAGAAGGGCGTTCAGTTGCACTAACGTAGCTAAACTAAACATTTCTTTAGCAAAGAATTCTGGAGAACAGTAAAGAGGACTACTACAGTAAGTGGTAAGTAGTAAACCCTGATCACAAATCATTTCTCGTAGCGCCTCGACTATTTTTTTGTCCATGTGGGTATTTTTCTGCGCTTGATCTTGGGAGACGGGCAGTAGGAACGGTTTTGTGTAATCGATCCGCCGCACACGGCTGTCGCGGACCATTTGCCTCGTTATAACAGTTATAGCGTTCTTCACACAACTCAATCGCTATGCGATTATTACTGTGGCATGATTTCTGTTAGTTCTATTGTTCCTATATTTCTTATTTGCTGCTGCATTCTGCTAGATTCTTTCGCGCGTAGCTTCTCTCTCGCCGCGACGCGACAATTCGTTCCTACTGCACCACACCCCTGGATCTTCACCTGCAGGATCTTCCGAAAAGGACTTATATGAAGTGATTGAAACAAGTTTTTCTCAGAAAAAGCCGCTTTGAATTTCGACTGGCCCAGTTTTGCAGGAAGAAGCTGCTACTGCCTTAGTGTAATCAAAATTAATAGGAAGGCAACATTTTTTCATGCGATACGTCGCGATAACACCGATGATACGTGATTACGTCGGATCGTGTAGTGAAGTCTGACAAGAGTTTTTCCGTTTCTCCCAACTATTGATTTGATTATCGGAAGCTTCCACCCCCGACCGTGGTACTACAAAGTTCATTCGGTCATTCTTTCCTTCTTCTCCTCTCTCTTCTGTTCATAGACCTATCGGTCTCATTATGAGTACTAATGGACTGTCTCGGTCATGGTATCACAAAAAGCAGTACTGTAACTATTTCAGGAGTCGCAGTCGTTTTGCATGAACCTCTTCCGAGGTCGTGCCGTCACCAATCAGATATTTCCCTATCCACTGAAACTAGACGACGATCAACGTGAAACTCTACACATGATTCTTGGACCCACTGAGAAGTTCCTTGAAGAAGTCAACGACGTCGTCAAGTGGGTTTGAGTTGATTCTTGTGAAATGCTGCGTACTCGGGTTGCAAACTGTATCAAAAAAGAACAGTTTGTATGCAACCGCAGAGGTGAAGTGATAGGAGATGTATTCGCAATGCAAGAATTTTCTGTGTTTTCTCTAATTTTGCCAATAGGACTGCTTCAAATTCCCCTAGACGGAAAAAAGACAGGCAAAGCGATAGCGATAGTGATTGCAAGACAGCAGATTTCAAAAAAATCTTTAACATCAATTGTTTACCCAAGCCCCGGATACTTTCCTGTTTTTGAAAATTAAGTAGAGAGCGCGTCAACTTTCAGTACTTGGTAGGGTCAGACTCAACGGTGAGGAAGTATTTTCTCAGCAGGATACGACTTTCTCCTCACATTTGGATTTCGGCTTCCAGGTCTGACCTTAGGCAACTTTAGCCATTCTTTTGGCACCTTTGACAACAGAGTGTGCAATAACAAGGCTCGGGAGGTGCAAGGGAATAAGATGAGACAAGAGTACTACAGCACCTGCTAGAAACATCTTCACTTTATACAAGAACCGCGGACTTGCTTTTTTTGTTTTTGTCATAACTCGGTTTGAAGCCAATCTTGCTGGAAGCAGGAGTACTGCTGTAGTTAGCTCCACATGTTCAACACCACTGTACTCAGAGAAAATGACAAATTTTTTTCTGGAACAGATTATTTACTATGACTTTCTGTCGTTTTTGGAAGGGTTTTTAGCTTAAATCCGGAAAGATAGCCAAGATATCGATAAAAGGACCACAACAGTGAGAGGGAAGTCGCGCGAGGGATAGGTGAAAGGGAATGATTCCGTGATTTGTTTCTTGTAGAAATATATTTACGTGAGTAAACAAATAAATGATGTGATGATGTGCCACCAAATCCGCTCCAAGTTCCTTCCGCTACTAGCTCGGGTGTTTAATTTTACGTACTTTTCAATCGACCCGTACCAGGGAGTGGGAATGGAAAAGAACTCAGCGTTAAGTGAATTTTCCATGTCTCTGAGAGAGTAATCAGAAATAGTGGATAA